AAAAAAAAAAAAAAGAATTAGCTGGGCATGGTGGCGTGCACCTGTAATGCCAGCTACTCGGCAGGCTGAGGCAGGAGAAATGCTTGATCCCGGGAGGCGGAGGTTGCAGTAAGCCAAGATCCAGCCTGGGCAACAGAGTGAGACTTACTCCCATGCTATGGCTGCCACCATCACCAGGTACATCAGATAATGAGCAGAGCCATCCCAGTAGCAGATCATGTGCCCATATGCAGTGTTCAGATATGGTTCACCCTAAAGAAAGCATTAAAAAGAAGTCCACTTTAAATAAGACATGTAAATGCAGAACATCAGACCTGTATTACAAGTAAAACAGCAGAACTAACTTGTGTTCATCTGCTGAGGAAACTATTTCTACAAAATTGTAGGAATGCGAAAATACAACTTTACACAGTAGCTACCAAAACCAGGGTTTGGCCACAGAGGATGGGATTAGTGAATGCCTGGCCAATTGGCCTGTGATGCATCAACATAGGTTTGTACTGTGATGCGAAGGCAGATGGTAGGATAGGCAATCCTGGCTATATAGCAAACTCATGGAAACCAAGCCAAATCTTTGACAAAAGATCCTTGGCAATGACCAGAGAGGTGGCCAGGGATGACCCTGCTTTCCAGAGCCAGTGGCTGGCCTTCATAATCCATGCTGATCCTGTGGCTTGCTGGGCTGGGCATGGCACAGCACTCATTCCCCCCACAACATACCAACACATAGGCAGGCAGGCACTGAACTCAGAGCTTCACACCCAACCCCTCATTCCACCTTCCCAACAACCCAACAATCTATTTTACAGATGAGGAAACAGAGGCTCTGAGAAATTATAAGACTTGCCTAAGGTCACGTAGCTAGTATACTAAGAGCTATAGTATAGTAAGAGCCATACTTCTGGGAAAATGTTAATGTTCTGAACTACATTTCCCTTTTCTAGGTGGTTACATTTCCAGGTGGCTTATAGAAAGTCACTGTCAATTTTCCGTGGATTTTTACTGTTGTTTTGGCCCCACCTTGTTTTTCTTGTTTCTCCCATGCTCAAGTCCTTTTTACAACAAGGAAGAGTGCCCATCAACCAGCTAAGCAAGCGGGGCTTCCTCTCAGGTTTCATGCTCCCCTGGGGCAGGGACTGCTCCGTCATCTCTCCCACAGATCAAATCAAATTAAAATCACAAAGGAGCACAAAACAGAATCAAGGTTCTGCTTCTATACCCATGCCAGTCCCGCTTCTTTCTCTCAGACTTGCTCTGACAGAAGAAAACATCTGATTTATGGTTTCATTCTTCCATTGCTAACACACCTGGCTTTCGGAGCCAGTGCCGTCCTCTCCTGGTGGCTTGATGGGC